GTTATGCTTGTGCTTGTGCTTGTGACGGTAGTTGTGGGTTCGATTCCTTCGGCGCCCAGTACGAGGGTGGCACGTGCGTAGGCGAGTCCGGCTAGCGAAAGGAAGCCCGAGGTGGAGGTCGAGTCCGAGGGGCTGATGGAACGGTGCAGGTGACCGTCGAGGCTGGAGCTGTTGTCTTTTGTGGCTCCAAGCGCAAACGTGTCTGAGGCTTGGTCGTGAGTCGTCGACGAGCGGTACCGAATGGCCGATTGCGGCTCTGAAATGAACGAGCCAAGCGGCCCGGTCAATTGGAGGTGAGGCTCGAGCAGAAAGTCTCTTGGCAGCTCCGAGAGACGCACTTCGCCCAACTCCCTCTCGGTCTCCACGTCCAGATAGGGCAACAGGTAGTTGGGGGTTCCGATCAACTCGACTACCTTTTGTGAAGTCTGACTGATCAGTCGCTCTTCAAGGCTGCCCTTCGACAGATCCGATTTGTCCGTGTTGTTGCTCTTTGTCGAATTCGACTCTTCTTCCTCCTCCACCTCCTCCTGCTTCTTCTGCTCCGAGCCCTGCAGAACTGTCTGCCCTTGAATCGCCTCTCTGGCGTCCCTTAAGTCCTCAGCAGGTCGCGGCGTAGACTCAAACCGCTCGACTGCTCGCGAGTCGGAGCTCGAGTTTGAATTGAAGTTGGCGGCCGACTTCTGTTTGAGTGTTGTCGACTTTGCAGCCTCTTCGTCGAGGGGAAGATAGACGAGGCCGGTCAAGGCAAGCGGCGGCGACAGCGACGGCGCTGGTGCCGGAAACGGGCTCGAGCCGAGGGCCGATGCGAGACGACGACGGCTACCGGCCGGACGGGTACAAGCAGTTAAGATGGTCCGATCAGGTGGACTTTCGAATGGTTGGTTCGTCTTCCTCTCTGACGATGGCAGATCGCGGTTGACGAGAGGGCGGCTTCCGCCACCACCGCCGCCAAGGCAAGTAAACTGGGCGAATTGGTTGGCACCGGCTTCACTGGAGTTGAGGAGTGTGACCGAGTTTCTCCGACCCAAAGTGAGGCTCTGCTGGCCGAGCGAAGAAACAGTAGGACTATATGGTCTGTCCGAGTCGTATGTTAACTCCTCCTCCTCCTCCCCCTCTTCCTCCTCTTCCTCCTCCTCCTCCTCCTCCGCCTCCTCCACCTCTTCCCTCACTCCTTGACCCACCCCCTTTTCTCCCAGTGTTGCCTGGCTACCTTCCAATCTCACTGATCCAGGCTCCGGAGGGTAGAGCAAGGTGTGTCCTCCTCGTATGTCCCTCAGCCTCTCCTCTTCCTGCTGCTGCTCGTCTTTTCCTACTTGACAACGGCCCCTTAGGCTTGGCCACTCCCTTTGGGTGTGTCTACAGGAGTTGTGAGACGGACAGACGTGATGGTCTCGAAGTGCTGACGACTCGACGATCGCGGGCGAGATGGGGACGATCACGTTCGTGGATTGGTCGAGCCGACCGGCTGTAGACGGATACACCAGATTCAGGCTACTGCTGGTCGACGCGAAAGTTGGCGCTCTAAGGGTTGGGCTGAAAAGCGAGACCACTGAAGAGGGCGAACAGGGGCCGAATATCACACCGGCCGACTGCACGTTGTCGCCCAAAATTGTATTGGCCTGTGTTGGTCGCCTCAATGGAGACGGACACACAAAGCGAAGAGTCGACGATCTCGGACTCGAGTCTAGGCACCAGAGGCGAGTGGACGTTGGTGTTGTCGCTTCTCTGTCGGCGTCTCCTGTTTATCCGCCCACACACGGTTTCTTTTGCAGCCTAAACATAGAAGTCATAGACACAAGTTTTTAATCTATACACATCAATGCCTAGTAAGCATGTGGGAGAAACAGCGAATAGCCGGCATGATATCGCTGCCTGAACAACATATCTAAATACGGACAGACAAGATACACTAGCCATCTGAATGGCATTAAAGGAGTACTGAGAATGACACAATGCACAGTGGACAGATGATATAAATGAGATAGGCCTCGGGGATCAAGATCCGTCTAGCAACATTGTGCTTCCTCATTCTGCCCGTCTAGCTATCTGTCGACCTCGGCTTTTGTCTTTGAAAGCTCATTCTTACTCCCCGATCGGCTTCCCCCGGCCAACCGA